CGAGAATCAAATTTAGCTGTAAAACGACGAAAAAGTTCATAAGGGGAATACATCACCGAAAAAAAAAAAATAATTTTGCATGCATAATGGGTTATCATACATTGAAAAAAAGAAATCAGGAGTTCTTGCCGTATTTAGCATTAATGAGAGGGGAAGGAGAAGAGAAGACAATGGTTATCGTTGTTCTTGTTTTATTCATGAGTATATTCAAAGAATCGAAATTTTCTTTATTAAAAATTACAAAATCTGCAACAATAAATACCTACAGAATTCTCCTTATCGTTATACCACAGAAATCATCGATTTCACCAACACCCCTTGATATTACTTTTTTCATATGTTGTTTGTTTATATGTGTGTGAGATCGAGTTTGACAAAATAATCGACAATGCGTCTATGTGATGTTTGGGTGATAACTTAAATTGCTTGCCTAGCAATCAAATTTGATAGACGCGGAGGTTTTTAATTTCGAAAGTAACACTTTACAAGCAGAATATGAATTGCATACATACAGTCAAAGCGCTATATGCCAATGTGGTCTGTACCAAATCCTTGTACAGCGTTAAAAGAATACACTCAAAGACTATCTGTTAGCGTTGATTGGAGTGTAAAGTTTTAATTATTCATCCTGAGAAAGTATTTATTGTGTCATTATACTATTGTAGTCTCGAAATGCTAATTGAAGTTAGTAAGTCGACAATAAATATCGTTATCCCGAGAATATATTATAAAAATCGTTATACAAAAATTGAAAGTTGATATACGAGAGCTAGCTATGTTCTTCCAGATGAATTAATTTTCTTATAGAGGTACTTACTTGTTTTTGAAATAGCACGCTTTCCTTGTATAAAAGGAAATTTCTTAGAAGTGTTTTTGAGTTATCACCGTTATATAATTTAATTAGTGAGTGGTTTAAGCGGACGAATAATCCAACGATCGCGCAAACACGAATGTACAAACTAAGCGACGAATAAACGTATAAATGGAAAAAAGCATTGATCATCTTTCATCATTTTCAACAAAGAAAAAGATCACACACAAATTAATGAAATTAAGGTTCCCGCAGCAAAAGCAATATTAAAAATTCAGAATTTCCGCTGCTTGCTTATGCTATCGTTACCTAATAGGGAAAATAATAATAACAATAATAAATATAATAACGATAATAGTTTCGTGTTCCTGCAGCAAACAACCAGATATTGGTCCTTTATATGATCTTAGGTTACCTGACTTTTTATATGCGTCAAAAACGAAAAAATTTCCGATTCTCCTACCAACCATCGCGCCACATGACAATTAATTTTAAAATTTCGATCTGCGACAGAAGTTATTAATTTAATATCTTAGATAACCAATATGCATGAAGAAAGTTAGAGCATATCGATATGTAAACTGGATCATAATTAATTTAAAATGAATAGCATGATTGTTTATTCTCGTTTCGAATGTCCCAAATATTGATTGTTATTAACTAAAGATATTATCATAATAAACTATTTAATATTGATATTAAGTATCTAATCATAGCTCTTGTTAAAATAGTTCATAAAAATATCTAGTCACATGATTATCGTCTCATTTAATTAGTAACGGTAAACTTTCAAAACACTATTTGTTTGTATTAAAAATAACTCTTGTTGAATTAACGCTTTTCATTATGCCAAATTCTTTTCAACATATTATTTGATGATTACACGAAATAAATAAGTTCATAAAGAACAGGCAGTACCGGTACTATTTTGTTAACTGTTACTCGATTATGTAATGGCATTTTTTTTATTAATAAGATGACAGTGAAGCGAATCATACTACTCTTGCTTGGTATATATAGTTGAATTATTGTTATTCGCAAAAAAAATACCATATTTGATATTATTAAACAAGCAAAAAGAAGCAGGAGTACTTGAAAAATAATAATAATAGCAGAACATCATTGAACTAGCTACCAAACATTATTAACATGTATTTATCAGGATTATTGACATGTATGTCTCAGGTATGTAGAAATATACATATATCTATCCATCTATCTATATTGATGGATTTAGGTCTAGGTATAACGTCTCATTTTAAAAAAGAAAAAGCTTTCTTATATGATTCGAAGTTTGAGATTTTCGAAACGATTTCATAATAAAATTAAATGAAACCATCGGAAAAAATAATTATAGTTACACGCCGGCGAATAAATCCGCATGATAATTTACCTGATCACTATTTGATATATAGAATAAAAATCAAAAATAGAACATACATGCAGATCGAATCTAATTACGCCTTGACCTTCCGAACCAATAACAATAATATAAATTTTGGTGACAATTGCGAATTTTATACCATACACAACAATCGCACATTTAGAGTCCACTTACTTGCATAAAAAGATGCTTGCTTTTTTTGTTTGTTGTTGCTGATATAATTAAAAACGATCATTGTCAATCAAACACATCTTAGCTAGCTAGCTCAAAAGCTCAACCACCAAACTAACCAAAAAGAATACACGCACACGCCGAGCGAACGACACCTTCAAAAAGGGGGTTTTATCAAAAAATCTGGTAAACTGGGTTGCTTTCTTTTACACTCTTCCCGACAATCCTTTACTTCCTCGATTCCTCCTTTTTATTCCATACATATATTTAATCTGTCTTTTTCTTGGCTGGTCAGTTAGAGAGAAAAATTTTTCGTGGGACTCCTTTATATTTGGCCTTCCTTCCTTATCATTGTTCACTTATCTATTATATAAAATAATAATATCCTTTTCTTCTAACCACTCGACCCGCACACATTCCAAACAACCATTCCTCAGATACATACATAAACACACATATATATAGATATATATATATATATATAATGACTATACAACTAGATCAACTCGCACCCGAACTGTTATTCAAAATATTCACATGGCTCGACAGACCTCAAGCATTTTCAATCACCTGCCAAAAGCTTCACTACATTACCAAAGATCCTCATGCACGAGCGGATCACTTCCTCAGAAAGTACGGTCCTAGATTGGCTATCTTTTACTCGATAAAAAACCATGCTAAGATAGTCAACAAAGAAACAGCCGAAGCATTGATATCCGCTGGCGCGATAGTGTCGCGGAATTTGGCACAACGACTGGTAAAAGACTATCTCGAACGTCAGCCTAACGAATATTTTAGGTGCTGCTGGACAAGTAAGTTATCCTTTGGAACATACCTGGTCTTTTTAAATAAAGCACATGAACTGTACGGCGATAATTTATGGGCAAAGGATGCAATGGACGACTGGGAACAGTTCCGGATTTGTGTCTCCTTGTTGAGTGGGTTAGACTTTGACCTTATTGATCAACAAAGCAATACTAGTGACTCTAATCGTGAATATATAAAGGAGCTAGTAAACCGCTATCAAGTCGTCCCCCTCCCTCTTCAATATAGTTATGCCGCGATATCGGACACCTTTGTCACAATTGCACGAATTGGAGATCAACAGTTGCTAGACATGTCACTTTACGACCTATCGAAATTCGATCATTATGAGATGGTCAATATAATACCGACCATCATTGAAAAACTTATATACAACAAACCTACGCCCCAGCATCTCAAAAAGCCGTTGGACAACCTGTTCGCCTTCGATTATCGAATTCTTGAAGAATTGGCATTAGAGTTAATTCGAAATTGTGGTCTCTACAAGGTCCCAAATATAATTCTGGAGACGTTGATCGAACGACGCGATTCACTGCCGTTTGACCTGAATCAAGTGTTAATTCGAGCGATCAATGACAAATTCCACTGCACGTATATGTACAACGGCGCCCCGGATAACATCGAATCATTGTATCATTATTTTCCAGAATTTCGAGAACAAATACGCGATAACCTGATCGCCCTCTTTTCAAATACTCAATATGGAGGTATCGTGTGCAATCGAAATGATGCCAGTTACTACGGATACGGTGTGGGTTGTGTGGCCATGGAATTCATTCTCAATAAATTTGGGCCGTATGATCAGGTGACTGAACTTTGCTTTGATGCTATTGTGCGGGATATTATTGATAAGGATAACAAACCGAATAATAGTCAAAGAAATAGCTTTCTTGGATCCAGAGGTTCTAATTATAATAATGCTACTGGTCGTAATAACAATAACAATAATAATGTATCTTTGGATGGTGCAACTGTGCTAAAAGGATCATCCGAATTTTTCACTAAATACCTTGAAGCTGGTGTCAGAGTTCGACCTGAACATCTAAAGATGGTAGCAGAAAAGGGTATGAAAGCAAAATGGTTTCTGAAAGAACTATTTGCGGCATTAGACAAATCTTTAAGAGGAGAAAAAACTATGGAAACTCCTTGTCATCGCGGTAGAAGCAGAGCATCCTTGGATCTTAGTAAAGTAGCGCCTTCAATTGTTAATGCCATGAAAACTTTATCTGAAGAAAAGCACCAACAACAGGACGAACACGAATCATCTTTAGAAGATAATAAAGCATTATGGCGTAAAGTTTTCGAGGAACTTCTTGATCAAGAACGTGAAAAACCTCGAAATGCAAAACAATGGTCCACAAAGTCACGATTATATCGAATGCTTGAAGAATCACATAAGCGACACTTTCGATGAGCTTCAGGTTCTATCGTCTCATAAATATTGTGAACTTTTCTTGTTATATAAATGCGCTCTAAAAAAAAAGGATGAAACAATATCATCATTATTCTAATACTGCACGTGCCAAACAAACATCGGAAACATTTTGTTCTTTTGTATTTTTATTATATTTGTACTATTTATTATCATTAATATTAATATTTCTCTTTTAAAATATTGGCAAGAAGTAACACCAAAATTTTTCTGTACTTTAAAATTCTTTTATCCCCCCCCCCCTTTTTTTACTACTTGTCTTCTTATGATAATTTTTATGACAATCTTATCACCTACCACAATAAAAATTCCTTTTCAATCTCAAATATAAATAGTTCTTTTGAACCTAATGAAAAACCTCTCTTTCATTTTATATGTGATTAATTAATGTCTATGTATGTGTTATTTTACATTGTTAAAAGCAACCCTTTAATCCATCCCTCTTCAAATCATTACTAAGACAATGCATACATGACACATACTCTACAAAACACCACGCATTTCATTTTTCATATTTTTAAATTTATTTGACGATAATTTTCTATGACGTGTGAGTAAAAAAGTAAACTTAGTTTTCTTTTTTCATAATTACGAAAATCACACAAAAATTGCTTTAACTAAAAGACGTGAATCCGAAAAAACTTTACACATTACCAACATCCCTCCCTAATCAACGATAGACCTTTTTTTTCATAATTACGAATTATAACCCACCATTACAAAGTCGAAATATAGATTATTATTTAATTAGGTTTGAGTGGATAATTAGTAGTTGGTGATTTATTTTTATTAATTCGAAGGTTTATTTTTTCTGAGAAAATAAGAATTGTGGATACAAAAAGATCTTTTTACTTTATTAATATACACTAGGGGAAAACAACGTTTTTGATCTATTTAAAATCAATCCCCTTCTCCAGCTTATATTTTCTATTCAAATTCTTAAAAGGCTCTTCCTTTTTCTCAGTCCGATTTAATTTAATTCCTTGTTTAGTGTCTTTCTTCGTTAATTTTACATAATTCGTTTTTTTAAAATTTTGGCACCACAGCGTGTCAAATTATACACATTACCCCATTTTTTCGTAACGACTTTTGAACTGAATTCGAATCCAAAATCCAACTCCGAAATCGAATTGAATTTATACAATGTAATATATAAATTGGCATGTTTCGCATTTTGTTCCTTATTATTTTAATAATAAATATTGTAAATTGAATTTAATTGAATTTGATCTTGAAAATTGATGTTTTGGATGAAAATTTTGATATAATCGCATCGTTATAAGGATAGCGAACGTGAATTTAAATTCTCTGCCAATCATCTCAGCTTTAAACACTAAATTTTATAATTCTTTTGTTATCGTCAAATTTAGACTTTACATATAAGGTTTTTGCAAGAAAAATACACAATAATGAACTGGATTAATTTCAGATTAAATTAGACAATTCCAGCCAAATTGTCGAATTTTATGGTAATTTTAAATTACAACGAAATTGATCAAGAGCAACCAACCCAAAGAATCCTATCTTACACCTTTTTTTCATTAATAAAAGTCTAATCAGGTCTGCCTTCAAACACCCATGTGTTTCAAAGTCTTTATAACCTGATTCTCTAATACTAGCTTATCAAAGTATGATGCAAGATGTGCATGAGAACGACACTATACTTGCAGTCAGGGCGAAACATAACCGAAGCTTCCGACATCATTACTAGGGCAAGGACGAAACCGATATTTGCAATCAGGTCGAAACATAACGCGAATGCCCTAAAAAATGAGCGGGTTGAGGATAAAATACTTTCCTTGATGATGTTCAAGATTTTCGCAGCTGAGACAAACCGATTTTCCCACATGCTTCAGCTATGAGGTCAACGTCAACTCAAAAAAGTACCTACTATCAACCCATGAAAGAAACTATCCCAAAACCCGACAAAACATATCCGATGCAAAATGAAAGACAAAAATGCGAAAAATACGGAAAACAGATATCAAAATCTAGCTTGGCGCACTATTAAAAAATATTGGGAAGACATAGTTTTTCTTCCAGATGATAGAAATCACCTTTAATAGTGGCCGGCTCACATATGTGATTATCATGTGACCAGGAACCGAGCACAGATTCTACTTTGCAATCCAGTCTCCCACCCGGAGAATTTTAAAGGTTGATTTTAAGGTTAGGGTATTACAAAATCAGCTTATAATTGACATTATCAACAGAAAATCACCTGATTTATATCTCAGGTAGCGATATTTTAGTATCAGTAAAATTATATGTATTTGTGAAATAGGGCATAATAAAGGAAATCATGAAATTGATAATCCACCATCAACAATTAAAGTCTATAAAATATACTAATAAATTTAAAGATCATAAACAAGATTTAAAAGATTGTTTCGTACATACCTGTCCAGTCACGAAATTGGCTGTTGCAAGATACATAGCAGCATGAGCGACATCCTAAAAAAAAATAATCAAACTTTCTATGAGTAATTATTTTTTATTTTAGTGTTCCAAAAATCACCTTTACATCGCCAATACGATTCAACAATGTTCTCGATAAGATTTCGTCTTTGGTCTTTGGTGGTAATCCTGTTCGGTTAAAAATTTAATTAAAATCAAAGAATTAAGAAGGCAAAAATCAAAATGACTGAAATAAATTTTTTCAATAACCCGATGTCATATCTGTATCGATATATCCAGGCGCAATTACATTGACTCGTATATTTTTCCTGGCAAGTTCCTTGGCGAGAGATTTCGAAAATCCTTTGTTGTTTATCGTTATTAATTTATTATTATTTGATTCATGGTTATACAAGTTTATACAAAAGAAAACTCGAAACCTATTATTCCCGCTTTTGAAGCACTATAGACTGATTGTCCCGAGTTTCCGTAAAGTCCAATAACGCTTGAAATATTTATAATGCAGCCTTTTTTTATCAAAAGAAATTTGTGAGTAATATTCAAAATACAATTAGATACTAAAGTCAAACTTTTAGTTAGTAATATTACCTTTATTTTGTCGTAACATAACTTTAGCAATGTTACGAGATACAAGAATGGTCCCAACTAAATTGGTGTTTATTATTTCATCGATTTCGTTATCTTTTACTTGGATTAACAAGTTGTCGTGTGAAATACCTTATCAAATAATAGCAAATTTGAGATATTCCGTTTTGATTAATAAAATATATAATATCTGAAAAGTCTATTTTACCAGCAACGTTTATTAAATAATCTACTCGTCCAAAGTGCTTGAATGCCTTAAATTTAAATGATCAATTAAGCAAATTTCTTAAATACAATTTAATAGGGTACCTTATACCTTTGCCGCTTTTTCGATTTCTATATTACTGCTCAAATCACATACAATGCCCATATGTCTATTATCATGATCATGAACAATCTCGCCCTCTTTTGTCTGCTTTTTGCCATATATGTCGTTTTTTGTCTCCCTCTCAAATTTTATCAGATTTAGAACAGCAAGATTCACGCGTTCCGAATTTTTTCCAACCAGAATACAATTTGCTCCATTTTCCGCAAATTTTTTCGCGATTTCGAATCCGATCCCACGCGTACCACCAGTTATTAGAGCTACTTCGCCATAAAATTTCTGATCTTTTTTTCCAAAAATCAAATTCCGTTTCAGACAAATTTTATATCTTAGAGCGTATGTAAAAATTTACCCGTTGCATAAAAGTATTTACGATGATTCATTCGATGATAACATATTTTCTTGCTTATATGGGTTTTAAAGTTTGAGCAGCGGAAGTAGTTCATGAATGGTCTTTTGTTGAAAGCTATGTTATTGATCATCAATTTAGAAGTGCAAATTAATAACATTATTATTTTACAATAAAAAACAAGATGTAGCTAATGGAGAATGAAATTTCTCACGCATGTTATACATATGAAAAAATCATAAAAGCCAATATCATTCCCCTTTGAAAACTTGTAAAAATTGATGTTCATCTCTAAACATCTTGCTTTGAATACTTGAATGAATTTGATTTCAATACCATTAGTATGATTTGTCAATGCTAAAGTATGTTTAAATGCTTTTTCTTAGACAAAATACAGTGGTTTGAAAAAAAAATTGGACAGATTTAAAAAGTAATTACATAGTAATAACTAATTAAATTTGCATAAAAATTAATATATATATTTTAATATTTATAAAAAAAGTTTACTTAAAATTATTTATTAAGCATATTAATATTATGAATTTTTTAGATTAAAAAAATCAATATAGAAAGTTTTTTTAGAAAATTATATATATATTTATATATAAAAAAGTTTCTTAAAAATAATATATAAAATAATATATTAAAATTATTTTTAAAAAATTTTTAAAAAAACAAATTTTTAAAATTTTTTTAAACTTTAATTTAAGTTTATAAGAGATATTAACTAAGATTTTTTTATTAAATATATTATTTTTTTTATTTTTAAATACTAAAATATATATGATGACAATTAAAAATAATACAATACTTAAATTTTTTACTAATTATAATTAGTAAAAAATTTAAGTATTATATTATTTTTAATTGTTACTATATATATAAATATTTTTTATTATTTAAATAATAATTTATTTTTTATAAATTTTTATTTAAATTAAAAAATTTTTTATTTTTTTCATTTTATTATATATTAATATTTACAAAAGTATTTAAATTTAAATAAAAGTTTAATTAATATTTTATTTTTAAATTTATTTTAAAATATTTTATAAATAGTATATAATAACAATCAAAAATAATAATTCAAGAACTAAATTTATTAATAAAATATAA